ATCCCTCAGCCTCCCTGATGCCCCATCCCTCAGCCTCCTCGATGCCCCATCCCTCAGCCTGCCCAATGTTCGTCCCTAAGGACCTGGGTCCCCCAGCGCGGCCTGAGCCTCCATGTGGACACTCACAGTTGTATTGTCTGTCTGTGACATTATTTGTTTAACCTTCGCAGCAGAGAATAGCCCTTTCCCCACCCACGTTCCCAATTTGGGGGTCAGGTATTCTTTATGTTAAAGTAACTTGTAAAACAGAGACGCACTAACAAGGACTTACTGGTAACATACCCCTTCCTCTGGGGACTGCTGGTCCCACCAGATTCATTTCCACCCCATCTCAGTCACAAATTGTGGGCACCGTGTGAGCCCACTCAGTCGCATGCCTCACCTCTCCTCCTTCCTCTGCCCTTGTGGTAGCCGTCCCGCAGAAGACCGAGTATTGCGAAGAGGACGTGCTCTGTGGGCCGACTCCCCCAGTTTGTCCCCTGCGCCTTGGGGACAGAGTCCCTTCAGGGGCCACCTCGGGCTTAGGCTCCGGGAGACCTAGATTACTGGGGAAAGCGTCTAGCCACTGGGCCAGAGCAGCTGCTGGTCGCCCTCCCCTCCGCACCAGGCCTGTCCCACCCCTGAGACACGCACATTCTCTCTTTTCCTTTGGGGGCATAGCATTTTACAGGAACGTCAACTAATCCATTCTCTCCCAACAGTGCCACGGTTTCCCTCACACCAAGCTTTGTGTTCTCTTTGACTCGAGCACCTCCCTACGCTCCCCTACTTGTTTCTTTAAGTTTCACTCATATCCAGGTTCCCCGGAAAAGTGAGCCCTGTCGATCCTTCTTCCCGTACATCCCCCTCATCCCCATTCTTAACTTCCCAAAACTTGACAGCGTTCTGTGACTATGCCCTGCTTTGACCTTGTAATAAATGGCTTTTGCATCGCTGACTTGGCACTCAACAAATACTTATCCCCATTCTTAACTTCCCAAAACTTGACAGCATTCTGTGACTATGCCCTGCTTTGACATTGTAATAAATGGCTTTTGCATCGCTTGACTTGGCACTCAACAAATACTCGTTTAGCTACTCTGTCAAATTTTCCAAACTCACTGGAGCTACTTAACTAAAGAAAACTGCAGTGACTCTCGTTAGAGCAACTGTAGCCTAGATCTTCAGCTCCTCGTCCAGACAGACATCATGGTGCAGTGCGAGGCGTATAGAGGCCGTGTTTACTTAGGAGTGGTGCGTGGAGTCTGCTTGGCAGGGACAGATTTCCTCAGACTTTAATTTATGAAACACATTTCATTTGGTTAAATGAAGTTACTGGTGTTTTTATGTATCATAAGACTGTTGGGCACTTGGAAGTCAAAGCTTGGAAACAGTTCAGTCAGAAAAAGCGAAGGACCATATGATTTCACTCATGTGAAATATAAAACTGGAACTTGTGAACACAAACAGCAGTGTGGTGGTTGCTGAATGTAAGGGAGTGGGGGAACAAAGGGGCCCTAATATATTGGTGGCAGGAGAAGATTTGACTGGGTGGTGGGTACCTGGTACAATAGATAGGTCTTGTTTCCTATCCTATATAAAAAAAAGCTAATAAGCAAATTGACCAAACAGTGGAATGATGGTCACTGTGATGTGCACTGACCACCAGGGGGCAGATGCTCAATGCAGGAGCTGCTTCCTGGTGGTCCGGTCACTCCCACAGGGGGAGCGCCATTCAGCCAGAAGCCGGGCTCACGGCTGGCAAGCGCAGCAGTGGTAGCAGGAGCCTCTCCCACCTCCGTGGCAGTGCTAAGGATGTCTGACAGACATCCTCTGAGCGCTCCCAA